TTTGTTGGGGGGGGGGGGGGGGGGGGGGGTTCTGTGACCTGCTTGCTCCTCCTATGCAGTCGAAAGAGTAATGCTATTATATGTTGAACGAATACTTCAAACTCAACTCTCACATACACGAGAGTTGGCAAGGTGGAAAGTGCACTCGTACCACCCTTACACGCGCCACATACCTACCGGTCCGGTGGGCACATGGCACGTGCACCGGCTTAGCGGGAGCCTTGAAGAATTTTTTCTTTTTGGAACGGGGCCGCTCGGTGAGCCGTGCTGGAAAGCGGTCTGTTTAGGCAGCGAACTTGCTGGGTGGACTAACGACACGTGGTACAGCTCTCAGAACGGACAAACCTAATGTAAAGCTCATTCATCGGCGGAGGGGTAAATACTGCCTTTCCAGCGAAACGGTCAATCTGTAGCCGGAGTGGCCTCTCCGTGATTGATACGTTTTTACGGAGAGGCCGAAGAGTCTAGCGCGAAGAGTTATTTTTAGGACGCTTCACAAGCCTTGTTCATGTTAGCACAGTATACGCGATTTTTCTACTTGTTTTATACTTATAAATGATCAGTGGGACTGATTAACATAGTCCACGATCGGCTTATGGACTGGCCTACTAATTTGAACGAGCAAATAACCTGGTTTTGCGATTGTGAGTAAAACTTTCCTTGGCATTCTTAGATGCGGCGCCATATAACGTCGCCTTGCGAAGATTAAGGGACTCCAAGCGGAGGCGCCAGAGCAGGACATTTGTTAGATGGAAAAACAGCTTAAAATATCTAAAAACGACTGGTTACAGGCTCTCAAAGCTGTCTCAGTAGATTGAGAACATTGTAGTTCAGCTCGGTATTTAGCCGCGCGTTTCTGGTTTAAGATTAGTATATAATGTTACAGCTTGTCGGCTTCACGTATGGTTTGCATATTGCCGTCTTGTGAGCTTCACAGACTCAGAAAGTAGGACTATACACGACGCGCTTCTCTGCTCAGAGTCTATTGTTCACTAGGAAGTCCCGCGGTCCCGCCTTGCCTCTCCAGCCGCGATAGCATCTACAACTTTGAGTGTTGCAGCCTAAGACTTTCTCGGATAATCTTAGTCACATAGACCTATGCTGTAAGGGGTATTGAGCTATTTTGCTTATGACAAAATTCACTATGCATGGCGTGCGCTGGTGTGGTGTAGATATCTTCAGTACAGGCTTTAAAAACAATAACTCTACTAAGTATCAGTTGTAACAACAGCGACAGGGTGGCTGTGTCGAGAGTCAAGGCGGAGAGAAGGGAGCGTGCATTGTTCGTTAATTACTGGTAAGTGCTCCACAACCGTTTGAATTTTTGTGAAATTCATGCCCAAGTGGACGTCCCATGCATTTAGTGTGCAATACACTAATGTTGCTTCTGGCTGGCTAGCTATTCTGGCGGAAGTAGCCACAGGGTCAATGCTGTGTAGCGGCTAGGTGCGGTTTGTCGTTCTGCTTCTAAGATATGTGCACTAAGGCATCGGCTCCTGCTTGCTGATGAACTGGCAGTAGATGTTTAGGACTATGCAACGTAACACTACGGAAAAGATATTCGGCGCGTACACGCGCCAGACCGATCGCAATTAAAGCTCTGTCACTACCTGTTGCTCTAGCAGAGGCTACAGGCTTATAGATAAACAGCGTAAAGCGTCTCGTGATGATTACAGAGCCTGATAGCCCAAGCTCTCGAGGTAGATAATGTACGATTGAAGGGGATAGTTATGCTGCTAAGCTTTATAAAAGCCAATGCAAATCATGACTTACCTGTCGAAAGTCGCGAACAGCAGCATTTTTGATCACTAGTTCGGTACTTCGTACTCAACAATCAAGAAGCAGCGTGGAGAACATTTGATAAGTATCCGGTAACAAGTGGCCAATCTTTGCATAACGTCGATCAGGACGTTGTTCGTAGAGCTATCTATAAAGCACTGGCCCGTCGCTCTGCGCGGTGAATGGTCTCGAATAGGACAAAGGTCAACTGATAGCTTCCAGCCGGGCATAAGTTTGTCTATTTGTTCTCGAATCTTTGTCATACGTGCGTGGAGGGTGGTGCAGAACTCGAACTTAGCAAAATGATTATATTGTTGTCAATTATATATAACTTTTCGCATAAAGTGTTAGTGAGATTTCGTAACGGATTTTACTGCTAAATCATGGTTTTTCCGACTGCGTTGAGTTCGCAAAGTTCACCAAGGAGATAAATAGCGAACTTGCGTAGCATGTACGTTTTTGGTGTCGGTCTCAGCATGCAACAGCCCATGGCGGCTATACAGGGCGTGCTTGAGGCTGCTAAAGTTGCCGTCGGCATCGCTATTATTATCTTCTCTCAGACATTGGGTGGTGCTGTGTTCATCTGCGTTGCTCAAAACGCGTTTCAGGACACGTTTAAGCAGGGAATTTCGGCTGCCGACATTCCCGGCCTCGTTTCCGAGACCGTCAACTACATCGGCACCACTGTGTAACAGTGGCTTATTTACTAAGTCACAGTAAGTCTGTTTCTTAGAGATTATTATTTTTAGATTATTGGTTAACGTCTATGTTGAAGCTCTAGGTTACGCAAAGAGACGTGCTAGCTATGCTCTACGGATGATCGAGCCGCCGTTCCGACTAGCGTGACGGGGTGTGCCCAGAGGTGCACCTTCTTTGGCAAGCTGGTCGGCCAGCTCGTTACCCTCGATCCCAGTGTGCCCTGGGCACCATCGCACACGGATTATGCCTGTGTGAGCATCGCCTGTCTTCTGGAACGTGCGGAACGCCATCTGCGATGATGGCGGCGCCGTCGCGCCTATGCAGTCGATAACAGAGGTGTTATCAATACACACCGTGATTCCTTCCCCTCGGCGTCGATGCGCAAGGGCAGCGCGGAGGCCTTCCAGGGCGCCTCTGATCTCTGCATCAAACACCTCGCCCTTGCCTATCTGTCCGCATCCTTGCGCGATCAGCTGTCGCTGTCGATATACAGCATAGCCAAAACCCGCTGTCTCTTGTTCTGTCTTGGAGCCATCACTAAAGACAGCCAGTCCGGAAACCTCTTGGCTCCATTTCTGGATCCTTTCTGCCTGGCGTTCTTTTGGCGGGCGGTGTTTTTCGCCTTCTGTCCAGATAGCGCTGGAGAAGCGCTGAGGGTTGAGACGGGGCCGCTCTGCCGTCGGCGCTAGAGCAGCGTTGCGAAAGAGCCTGACAGTTTTCGTCACTGTCCGGGGTACTGTGGCCGATTCTGGATGGGTGGCGTGTTGGATCTCGTGCTCCTGCTGTAGGAGGCGGCGTGTAAGCGGGTGGTGGGCATCGAGGCGTGCCCATCGATTCGCATTACGTGCCGCTATCTGTTGTAGGAGCAGCTCTGCTGGCGGGATGCCGGCTTCCTTCCACAGCGTCGTCTTAGGTGTTGTCTTCCACGAGGGTAGAATCATCCGACAGGCCGCTGTTAGTGTTTTCTGGATGATCGCAAGATGCCCTTTCAGTGTTCGTTCTGCGCCAGGGTACCACACATCTACCCCGTAGAAGAGAGTTGGCATCACCACTGCCCAAGCGGCCTTCCTAGCCGCAGCAGCCGAGATTCCGCGAACGGTGTTGCTCATGCCTCGCAGGTGGAAGATGACGCTGTTGGCTTTCGCTGCCCACTTCGTGATGTGGATGGTAAAGTTCAGGCGTGCGTCAAACCAGATACCAAGCCAACGTAGAGCTGGTTTAGGTTGAATAGTACGATCCTGATGCTGGATAGGCGGCAAATTGTTTCGTCCGTGGTTTGCGAAGTGCATGACTTCTGTCTTCTTAAACCTAAAGCGAAGCCTTCTCTTCGCCCCCATTCTTCTAGTGCAGCGATTGCGACGTTTGCTTGGGAGATGGTTTCTTCCAGCGTGTCGCCCACAAAGAGCATCGCGGTATCGTCTGCATATCCATACCGCTGGGTAGCGCCAGGGAGAAAGTACAGCGCCGCCGTCGCCAGTAGGTAGAGAATTGGCGAGAGGGGGGAGCCTTGTGGGATGCCACAAATGAGCTCCAGCGCTTCCACGATGGCGTCCTCAAAGCGGACGCTGGCTAGCCTATGTGTAAGGAACATGACGAGCCAGCGGACAAGAAAGTCTGGCCAGCCTTGCTTGCGAAGCTGGAGTATTAGCCTATTCCGCAGAATGGCATCAAAAGCTCCCTCTACGTCCATTGTCACCAGCGTGGCGACTTTCTTTTTCTTTCCGCGGCGTGTCTGCTCCACATCATGTGTGAGTGCAGCAGCGATGTCGGTGGCACTCCGCTGTGGTAATGCACCAGCTTGGTTCGGGTGTAGTATCTTGTGCTTGATGGCCAGGTATGGCATCCGTTTGGCGATGATGCGCTCCATTCCTTTGCTGAGGCAAGAGAGTAGGGAGATGGGCCGCCATGCCGATGGATTTGTGAGGTCGCGTTTATTTGGCTTCGGTATCATCACTACCTCAGCCGTGCGCCATGCGCTTGAGCAATAACCCTGCTGCAAGCACGCGTTGTAGATGCCCGTAACGAGGTGGCCTATTATTGGCCACAGGTCTCGTAGCATGTGTACCGTGATGCCGTCAGCGCCTGGTGAGGTGTTACCGGCGCTGAGAAGTCCGAAACGAGCCTCCTCATATGAGATCTTGTGGTCGAAAGGAATTGAGGTTACTGGTGAGGCAGGTGCAGACCAGGGATCCTCTATATCGTCATTGGCTGTGCGCCGCTTGAGTTTGGCTTGACCCAGGGCTCGTGCTCTGTCCTTATTCGTAGAGAAGATCCGCTCGCCTACCTGAATGGGAGGCGGGGATATCCGCTGCCGAGGCTTTAGCCAGTGCGTGGCTTTATAGACATCGTCCGGTGCTGTAATGTTCGATATGATCCCTCGCCAGAAATCTCGCTTCACGCGGCGAACTGTTCGTTTGAAACAGATACGCGCGCGCTGCGTTTCCGCTCCCGTAGGGTTCTCAGCTGTGCGCCAAAGAACCCGGAAGTCAAGTAAGCTGTTTGTGCACTCTTCGTTCCACCAGGGGTTCTTGCCCGCCTTGTGGTTGCTTTGTCGGTGCCCGCAAGTGCGGATCGCCGTTTCGACCATGTTCGAGAGTGCAGCTGTTGTTTGTTCGATGTTTTCGTGACTATCAAGTGATGGTTGGACGTAGGCGAATGCTGTCCTGACATGGGTGACGAAGTTCTCCATTTCTTCGCCTACGGAGACTTTATATCTGCTTGTGACCCGCTAGGGGACCTCTGCTGCTAGTACTTCGACACACACGGTGTAATGTAGTGAGCCAGTGGTTAGGTATTCTTCTACTACTGCGGCGGCTTGGTCGATGTTGGAGAATGCTAGGTCTATTGTCGTTGCATGTTTGTGAGGCGTTGACCGAGTTGTATCTGTGTCTGGTTCGTTGAGAAGGAGAAGCCCTTGCTGTTCTGCCCATTCGGCAAGTTGCGTGCCGCATCTCGTGTTAGAACGGTCTGTTCTCCAGTGGAGATGATGCGCATTCATGTCTCCAGCCACGATGGTGTTAGGTGGTACGTTCCACTGTGTAATAGCTGTGATTGTCTCGGTGACTTCGGGATCGTTGTAGACGTTCAAGGTAGTTGTGCCGTTCACAACCAACCACAGTAGATCGCGGGTTTGTGATACCGTGAGTTGCTCAGGCTGAATTCTACGATGTTTTCGAACGTAGGTGAGCACCCGTGGGCGTGTTGCTCGAGAGTTCCAGTAGAAAATAGGTGAGAAGCAGAGGAAGCCAGGGTGTTCCGGCATTCGGAAGAGGTCTTTCTTTTCATTATAGGAGGAATGTGGTTCTTGGAGCAGAACCACATTAAAGTTCTTTCGTATGCCAGTTGAAGGGCTGCGTGGTGCGCAGCTTCGCTCTTGTCGACGTTCGCCTGGAACAGTCGAAGCGATACAGGCTTGTTATTTCCGGGCATTAAGTCTTGTACGAATTTGCCTTGGTTTCTTTGTTGGCGACTGTTGTGCCGGTGAAGATGGAGGGGAGTGAGCGACCATTATCGTGTCACTGGATAGCTCTGTAGGTTGTGGCTGCATTCGTCTGAGGACAGATGCCTTAATTGTCGACTGCCTTGCTGTGGCAGCTGACGTTGCTCTGGTTGCTGGGGCCTGGCTCGCGGTATCACGCTGGATGGGTTGTGTGGGTGGAAGGGGAAGAGGAGGAAGTGGAGTGCTTTCCTCTACGTCCTCGTCAACCTCGTCCTCTCCCTCTCCCCCCGCAGTTCCCCCCTCCCTTTCGTTCTCCTCAGCTTCTACGTCGGTGGCCATATTCTCCTCTGAGCGCTCTGGACCTTCGATATTGTCTATATTGTCTTCCTCATGAACGTTGTGTTCTACCTCCGTGGCGTTGATCACGCGATTTTCCCCTTTCGGTCATCTCGGCGTCAGGCGTGTCCTGGTCTGTTGTGATGGCCTGTGTGATTTCAGCAGCTTTGTCTAAATGTTGGGAGCGCTCCCAGCGTTCGTATGCAGCTTTGCCCTGCTGTGTAGCGTATTTGTGATCAGTCTTAGAGAGTGCTCGTTGGCCATCCATGGCGGGCCTGGGGCGGGCAAAACAGTCTGGGGATCCTGCAGCGTGCGGGCCAGAGCAACCCACACATCTAGGAGAGGCTGTACAGACATCCAGACTATGGCTGGGGCTGCTGCAGTTGCCGCAAACCACTTGTTTCTGGCAGCGTGTGGGCGGGTGGTACAGCCAACATGTTTCACAAAGGGCGATTCGTCGGGATCCTGTGCGGTGGATGGAGAGGTCGCCGCAGTTGAGGAGGCGAAAGCGGCTCTTGAGAGCCTGGTCAAAGTGAATAACAAGTGTTGTTGTCGGGCCGTCTGTATCGGTGCTTCTCCATCGGACAGGGTGTAGCCCTGTCTGTTGTTTGATTGCTTCCTCGACTGTAGATTTGTAGTCTAGCTCCGTGCCATCCCACGAAAGGATCGTACGTGGGAAGTTCTTGACAAGGTAGGTATGCCATTGAATATCCTTTTCCGCGATTCCAAGCCCAACGAGGGGCCCCCATAGCTGCTGTTGCTGAAGGATTTTCTGTTGGATTTCAAAGGTGCGAGGTGTAAGCGCGAAACCGGTGTTGGTCTCTTTAATGTCTAAGAGGTCAGCTAGCTGTAGATGTAGTTTGTCGCGAATAGCGAATTGGATTTGGAGTCCCTTGTCAAAGAATTCTGAGTCTTCTCGGAGGCGGATAAGGATCCTCTTATCATTCCTTGGTGTTTGTCGTCTGCGTTTCGGGGTTTCCTTAGGCGTGATTATACGATAACCGGGCTGGGTCTCATGTGCGGCGCGTGCAACTCCTACAAATGAGCGTGGGGCATTTGCCTTGTTGTTGGTGGTGACGGTGTGGGCAGGGGTTGGCGATGGCCCTCCGTGGCAGGCGGCTTTCCAGTGCTGGAGGAGAGTTGTTCTGAGATGCTGTGCGAAGTGTTTTCCGTATCCAGAGGAGAATTGTTCGGCGCATTTCGCAATTGCTTGCGCATACGCGCGAAGGATGCTGGCGCGAGTGTCGAGCTGGTCCTGCGCTTCCGCGATTAGAGCCTCGGCGTCAGGGGCAGTGTCGTCTTCTTCGTCATCGGTTGCAGCCGGGTAGACTGCTGTCGGATTGGGCTGCTGCTCCCGACGAAGGGGCGGGTGCGTACTGGGATGCTGTCGCAGGTAATCACTCTCTGTGGGCTATCCAACAGGACGGGTCCCTCAGGGGCACCACGTAGCGGCGCACTGCCAGTGTTAGCGGCATTTGGAGGCGCAGGCGCCATGCCGTTAGGCGTACGGGCAGGATTTTATGCACGTGTTTAGCTACGGTTTGGTTCCGCTATCTCTCTGTCTAAAATCACAAGGTAGATTATACCTGATGATGTGGAAGGAAGATGTGTGTTTCTTAGAGATTATTGATTGATTGATTGATTTGATTATTTAATTTGATTTTGATTTGATTTTGATTTTGATTTGATTATTTAATTTGATTTGATTTGATTTGATTATTTAACGTCTATGAGGGTGTAGCTCTAGGGTAAGCAAAGAGACGTGCTAGCTATGCTCTACGGATGATCGTGCCACCGTTCCGATTAGCGTGACGGAACGCGCCCGGGGGCGCGCCCACGTTCTCATCAGGGGCTTATCACAACAGTTCTATGACGCGATTCTCCTCCTATAGCAGCAGCTGCGCGCCAATTGAGGCAGAACTGCTTCTTCTCAATTGGCAGTTTTTGCTGTAGGCGGCTTCCGTCAGCGGAGAGCTACCTGTGCTGTGTTACAGCGTTGTTATGCCCTTAGGCTTGTTTGGCGCGTGTTTTCACGTAACAAAGGAAAATATGAAAAGAGTTTTACAAGCAGTTAGCGCTGCTTGGGCGATTCGTCAACTCTTAGTTGCCAGCTAAGAGCGCCTTCCATTCCTTAGTATCGTCTGTTGATCTTCGAGTAATAGAAGTCAGCGAGCTTTACGTAGGTTTGGAAGGATCTACCCAGGTATCTCCGTATCGCGGCTCCAGGTTCGGGGTCAGCCGAGGCCTGAGGCTGCGCGGGATCCTCCTGCAGTAGAATAGGTGAGTTGGAGACTTCCGGCGCCCGCATGGGCAGTTGATCACGGCGTCTTCATGATTGAAGCGCTCGTGGTAGTCGGCGAAGCCTCCGTGGTGTGTCCTCGCAGCTAGGAGATATCCTAGCTGCCGTCGTTGAAGTGTCAGCTCGGGTAGCTTCTTCAGTTCAGCTTTCAGTTGGAGTCCGTGATAGCTCTCGCGGTCAACTGTGTTCCACCATCGCTGGAAAGCAATGGGGAGGAAGCTTTGCTTTCGGCGCTTGCAGTAGGAGACCGTTGGGAGGTTGTCTGCTACGTGCCCAGAGGTGCGCCTTCCTTGGCGAGCTGGTCGGCCAGCTCGTTGCCTTCGATCCCAGTGTGCCCTGGGCACCATCGCACGCGAATCATGCCTGGGTGGGCGTCACCTGTCTTTTGGAGCTGGCGGAAAGCCATCTGTGACGATGGCGGTGCCGTTGTACCAATGCAGTCAATCACAGAGGTGTTGTCGATACAGATTGTGATTCCTTCCATTGGGCGCTGGTGCGCGAGAGCAGCGCGGAGACCTTCCACCGCGCCTTTGATCTCTGCGTCAAACACTTCGCCCTTGCCAATCTGGCCGCATCCTTGCGTGATGAGCTGCTGCCGACGGTAGACAGCATATCCAAAGCCCGCCGTGTCTCTTTCTGTTTTGGAGCCGTCGCTATAGACGACCATGCTCGTCTGGGTCTGGCTCCATTTCCGAATTCTTTCTGCCTGGCGTTCTTTTGTTGGGCGATGTTCCTTGTCTTCTGTCCAGATGGCGCTGGAGAAACGCTTGGGAATCAGGCGTGGTCGCTCCGCCGTTGGTGCCAGGGCGGCGTTGCGGAAGAGCCTGGCGCTTTTCATCGCTGTTCGCCGTGACGTGGCCGCGCCAGGGTGTGTAGCATACTGGATCTCATGCTCTTGTTGTAGGATACGGCGGACGAGCGGGTGGTTGACGTCAAGACGTGCCCAGCGGTTCGCATTGCGCATCGCAAGCTGCTCAAGGAGTATATCAGCTGGCGGGATGCCAGCTTCCTTCCAAAGGGTGGTCTTCGGCGTCGTCTTCGATGACGGAAGGATCATCCGGCAGGCCGCCGTGTGTGTTTCTTAGAGAGTAAGCCAGGCTTGAAGCTACAGGAGAGCACGTTGAGCAGTACGTCCAAAAGCCTGCACTAAGGCGCCAATGGACGTAATGTTCAAGTGCAAAAAAAACTAAGAGGTTTCCAAAACGGTCCTTCAAAACTTCCTCTTATAAGAGCGGTTGCGTTAAGTAAGACAACCGTCTCTGCTGACTTCGCAGATTGTGCTAAAAGCAGCGTCCGTCAGTGGACAGCTCTTTGCGGTGCAGCTTCCTTGTTTTTCCTAAGCTGCGACAGCTTGAGGATCTGACTTGTTTGACTTGTATCTTGTCCGTTCCAGGCCGCATATGTGAGAGCAGTGTAAGACCTGGCGATCTTACATACTAGTCTTTTACATGGCGCAGCGGCTAGGTTTGTGAATGCTCCCCTAGGTCGCACCGTAACATAGACCCATGCTGAC